TCTTTGATTTATATTTGGATACATATTCTGCATTTTGTTGTGAATGAGTAGCTAAAAGTTCTAAGATTGGCACTGGGCATGGACCATACTTCAAGTAGCACTTCAGGCAGATTGTAGCTTTGGCGGTGTGAGCAACATTACTTACCAGTCTCATGTTAGAGACCTAATTCAAAAAGTTCAGCTTCTTAGAAAATAGAAAGAGAAATTGTTACAGTTTGTGTCTAGATGTACCCTCAAAGCCTCATGCAGTCATAGGGTCTGTTCAAAGGTAGCTGAATGTAATGTGCGATTGATTTGTGGTGCAATGCTGGGATTAAGGATACTGGTATAAAGGGTGAGTGACTGATGGATCAGTCCACTGATTAGATTGGCAGCACCCTAATCCTAGCAGTCTAAGTGCAATATAAAAGGGGCAGGAAGATGCTACTAATCCCCCTTGTTGCTTTTGCTGTCTTCCACCACCATGAATGGCTGCCCCTCTGCCATGACACCTTGCCCTGAAGCCTGTGCATTATGGACTGAAACCTCTGCAAACTGTGAGCTAAATAAACCTTTCCCCCTGTAACTTTGGGAGTCGTGTGCTTAGTCTCAACAATAGGAAAGTAACTAAAACAAAAATGAAAACAGATGAGCATAAAAGAAATCAAATATGTTCGCTTGTTATTCATTGCACAATAAATATTCAAATAGTCAATATTTATTGTGCACCTAATTTATTCTTTTCATTTAGAGTCTCTCCCAATATTAACTTTCCTCTCTATGTCGGAAAAGTAAGCAAGCAAAACCAAAACCAAAACCAACAGCAATAACAATCAAAGGGAAAAGATTTTTCATAAAATCAGGGTTATAAGCTTCAAATTCAGGATACCAGGACACCAAAAAGTAAAGCATATTTTTAAGGTTGTTATGCACACCTTGTGTTCTTCTGAAAAAGATGTGCAGAGGAAGACTGACTTGGAGGCAGAAGCTACAAATTGGGAGCCTAGAACCCTTTTTTTCTAAACTCAAACCATGCTACACTCACAGTCAAGGCAGACAGGCAGCAAAAGGAAAGTAGATGAAGGCCAAATGTTCAGTTTATTTTGTTTACACAGATTTTTTCATTATATAGATAAAAATCTGTGTTCACCAGGGTCTAATGAACATATTTAAAATGAAAACTGACAGTGATAAACCAAAACGGTTTTGGAAAGTCACTGTGTTGAACTAGACCACCTCTGGCAAGGAGTCCTTCTGAAAGCCTGATGCCTCCATCCAGCTCAACAGTTGAACACTCATTCTTAAAAGCAGTGTCTTTGATCTAGCAGTTTCCATGATGCTCATCATGGAAACCAAGGTAGGGAAGCTCACTGGAGAGTGTTAGAAATTAAGGTGGCCAAAGCATATCGCAGGAACAATATTAGTAAGTATTTTCCTTTTTTTTTTTTGATGCGAGTGCTATTTACTTACAAATTTAAGTTTTTATGATTTATTTAATATTCTATATGAATGCAAAGTGTCAGTAAACATCTTTTACAGGTGAAAATATTTTATGTGCCAGGCATCAAGAAGATACCCTGAATGTCTACTGCTTGTTTCCCTTTCATTTCAAAACATGTGACAGAGGCTGATAGTGTAAAAGTAAATTCTAACTTAAATTATCCTCCAGAAAAGAAATCAGACAAGTTTAAAAGGCGCACACACAAAGATGCATTGCATAGCCAAGTGCTCCTTCAGATAAGTCTGGCTTGCATCCTGTAGGTAAGAATGCTGGCTAAAAGGAATCCTGCCAACTCATGCACTTTGAGCTTCTTCACTGTATTCTCTACACCATTAACAAATACACTTTGCTATTTCTGTCATTATGATCAATAACAAATGTCTATAAATTAGGCCTAAGAAGCTTTATATTACTCAGTAAGACAATACTAAATATCCACAAGTTAAGGATTGGTTGACTAAGTGATGGAAGTGTCATACAATGCAGAATTCTGATGCTGATGAAAAGGATTGTATGTTAGAAAATGTAGAAAGAGACTGGGTAAGCACGGCTAAGTCAAGAAAATAAATTTTACAGCAGTGCATATTATAATATCATTTTTTGTAAAACAACTACTACTGCTCTTACTGGACACAAATATACAACTTTAGATTCAAAAACAAAACAAGGGGTTATGCACCACGATGTTAATATATGTTTCTGCTAGAGGGTGATATTATGGATAGTTGATACTCTATTTTGTGCACTTTGTATTTGAACTTGGATACAAAGAACATATTGTTTCATAGAAAAATAATAAAGGTATTTTCCTTATGAAATAAAATTTAATTATAACACACACAGTAAAAATGCTGCTAGGTTTTAACTCCAGAGCTCAATTTTGTCTCTTCTCTTCCCTCTCCTCCTTTCTCCTTTATTCCTTTCTGTCCACCTCTTGGTTCTTCCTACTCAGTATATGTGTACTTAACACAAACCTTTGAAATGGTTCATTTGTACCACTTCTTTTAAAGTTAAGACTCCCAGGCTGAGGTCTGAAAGCTTTTCCAATAGAGTTGAAGTGTGCTTTGAGTTAAAGTTATAATGATATTTAAGAAAGGGAAAGAGTATATCCTTCTATTATAATCCTGGTCACAAGGGAACTGAAAGTGAGTAAGAACCTAACCTTGGCAACAGTTGATAGATTATCAGGTATTTTTAATCAATACAAGATTACCATGGCAAATTAATTAGGAAACCTACTATTTTGGCTTCCTCTGGGGAGTGAATCTATACGTTGAAAGCTACTTGAATCAAAGGAGCTAGTGGTTTAACCATAGATTAAGTCATCTAGTCTTTCTGAATTTTTCTGATTGTGGAGCTTTGAAACGCTGGCACTGTTTTGTCTGGATTGTGCCTTTTTTTTTTCATAGACGCTGTTAAAATGAATATGTTTACTTGAAAGCTCAGGATTTCTCTTCCCTCGGTCTTTTTTACTACTAAAATGCAGTAAAGGATAAGTAAAGCCTATTTCTCAGTTCCAAATGTGAACATGAGTGTGGCCATATTTGTAAGTAACTCTTGAAGGAAATATTCTTGTCTGAAGACAGCCTCTCACTATATCCTGTAGACACATCCCAAAAATTAGACTTGGAGCTGAAGTAATTGCAGAATTTGCCTCAGTAGCTTGTCATCCTATACCTGAAATGTCCAATGAATGCCCAGATAGATTTCCTGAATTCAGGTCAAAGGCTGGGCCACACACATGCACCAAGGACACATGCACTTACAACTTGAGCTTCTTTGTTGTATTTCCTAGGCCACTAACCAACAGGCTTTGCTATTTTTTCTTTTACCCATCATTATGATCAATCATAAATGTCTACAAAAGTAGGCCTATGTTACTATAGTAATATAATAAGACAACATGTTTTACATAGGACAAATTCTCCCTAATAACTAATCAAATATAAAAATCATCATATAGAAATGAACAGTAAAATCTACACTATCAAGTGTAGGGAGAGAAGTCCAGAGAGAAATATTATCAAATTACCTCAGCCTTGATCTAGAATAGAGGCCAAATCAGAGGATTTTGCCTGTGATGGTTTAATTTTTCATTCTTATGATGAATATGTAGTTTCAAGTTTACTTAATGACTTGTATGATTAATCACAAACATCTCTGTCATCTCCATCTCTGCCCTCATTAAAAAAAATAAGAAAAAAAAAGAAATTCAAGATCCTGTAAATAAATCCTCTGGTTGATTCAATACCGTACACAATCACCTCGTTATTTATCTCAAGCTCTGAAGTGCTCGTGCTCATCACAAACATCAAGAAAAATCTGCTGAACTGAACTAATGGTTATCAGAGGGAAACAGAATTGATCTTAGCATGAGGCTTCTTTTATGACAACCACGAATGTGTACTGAGCTTTTCCAAGTACTTTATATGTGGAAATAAAAAATCGTAAATAAATATGTTCTTTGAACTCAAATCACAAACCTGGAACACCCAGCCCACTTTCTAGGATTCAGCAATCCCTGCACAGTTCTGAGGTTGGTAGACTGCTGCCCATCCCCACCTCTTCCAGCACTTGGAAGTGACTAGGGCATGGCATGAGGGGGTGCCAGTGTCACTGGTGACAAGGCACCTCACTCTCATGCACTTCAGAAAGCGATCTGCATGACAGAGGAGCAGCTAATCCTGCCTCTAAAGGGTGTCCTGTGTGTGGTGGCTGTAGGGAAAAGATGCCTCTTCTCTACTTAGCAAATTTCACCCCAAAAAGGCATTTAGGATCGTCACAAACAAGATAAAACAATCCTACTAGCTGCATAATTAAGCAATTTAAATACGGTATTGCTATTGCCTTTTTAACGTTTTTGGAGAGGGCACCTTCAGTAGCAAAACTGCATCAGGAAACAAACCTCCCATGAAAAGGCTATCACTCATCTAGCCTCTTTTCTCGTGACAGGTTGTTGTCTGAACAATGAACATGGGAAATCTGAAGTGAAAGACACCTGAGGACAAACAGCTTCAGAAGTGGCTCCCAGGTGGGCAGTGAGCCCATCACCGCTGCCCATCGCCCGGTCCTTTGCACCTGTGTTAAGGACCTTACCAAAGCGAGGGCTTTGAGGTGTCTTGTACATGATTCACAACAAACAGAAAAAACGGACCCCGAACTCACTTTAGGAAAACAAAGCAAAACAACCCAAAGGAAAATTAACAGGCGGAGGAAATGGAGGACATTAAGAAATAGACCCAGTCTCTGGAATCCAACACCAAATCCCAGCACCCGCAGGGGCCAAGTATTTGGTGGCCGATGGCAGAAAAGCACAGGCACAGTCCCCAAACCTGGTTCTTAGCAGGATGTTTCTGTGAATGAACGGGTCTTTGTGCTCCCTAGAGGACAGCACATTACGTTTCCCTCTTAATAAGATCTCAAAGAATTTGCCTATCATCCACGCACTTGCCTGGGAAACAGGATTCCAGCGCCCCATCAGACCTGGAAATGGGGAAAGGTCGCCGAGGAGCTTACTTACTGGGTTTTTTGGGAACTCAGGAAAACACTGCTGGGGATCGCGTGCTCTGCGCCCGGAAAAACTTCCCCGGAATCGGAGCCACCCGAGACAGGTAAAAAGCGTCCCTCGAACTCGGTAGGAAGCAAAGGCCGTCGGTGTGCGAGTGGCCAGTCCCCAGTCAGGAGCAGATGACCCTAGACATTCACACAAGCACAACACAAACAGGAGAATGATTATACACCATCGCAAGGACCAAACAGAATGCACCTAGAAGCACGGTCTGCAAAGTGTAGAAGGGACTGCTCCTGCGCGGAGAAATCAACCTTTGCAACTGCGGACAGCAGGGCAGACCTTCCCGGCTCCCTGTGTCCGAGAACGAGGCGGGTCGTCCCGGGTCCAAGGACACTGCGCGCCGGATCCCTCGCGGTCCCGCTGGAGTCTCCCCAAGTCCCTGCAAGCCGGGCTGCCAAGGCTGCTCTGGGACGCTAAGGAAGCAGCCCCCCGCGAACAGGACACATGGGTGGGTGGGGGGTTCTACAGCAAGGAGCCGGGGGACCCCGGATCGAGGCTCCGGAGGTCGGGGGACCCCAGGCCACCCCAGAGGAGGAGTCGCGGAGCCGTGCTCACAGGCGAGCCCACTCGCGCCGAGCAGCATCCCGTGCGTCTGGGCTCCCCACTCTTCCGTCTCGCATCGCTGGCCCGGTCGGCAGCCCCGCACTGACCTGTGGCTCTGGTGGTGTGACCACCCCGGCCGAGCTCCAGGTGGAGCGGCGACCCTGCCTCTGCGGTGCGCGCGGGTCCCCGGAGCCGGCTCAGGGGCGCGGCGCTGGCCAGCGCGCACGGCGGCGGGCGCAGCGGGAACGGCCCGGGCTGCCGGCTCTGCCCCGCCCGCACACGGTCCTCCGCCCCTCCGGCCCGCGCATCCAATGGCCGCGAGCGGGGCCCACTCCTCGCCGTCCCCCGGCGCAGCTCGCGCGGGCACTTGGCGCGAGGACGACACCCCACCCTCGCGAGGGAGGAGCTTGAGCCACCTTAGGAAAATCCTGGAGGCTGAGGAGGCGTTTGCGCAGGGAGCCCCATCTGGGGAAGGCAGGTGTGATGAGGTCAACTTTTATGTGGGCACAAGGGGTGCAGATGCAGTTGCTTTGGGAACAGGGACTTCGCTCTGCAGGCGAAAGCGTCCACTCCTTGCCAAGTTCTCTTCCATCTTTTATGGGTCTTACTCGGGCCCACCCCAAACAACGACTCAGCGGTGCATCATGGCACACTTTGCTCTGACTGAGCTGCTTGCGGGCGTCAGCCTCCTCCTATGACTGGCCCCCACTCCAGCCTCCCTCCTTCAGCGCTTCGCGCTGTCCCCCGAATCCTCTGCCAAAGCATCAGATGAATGAATAGGACCGCGGTGGCTATGACTGCCAGTCATGAAAGTTCCCATGGGTACCTGGCACAGAGAGAGCCATCTATCATGAAGAACTCTGGAAAACATCCCTTAATTGAGATGCCTCCCTTTAGTTACAGTCGGATTGTGACCTTCTCAAGACTGTCTCTGTATTTCCTTTTTTCAACTCGGATAAGAGGTCTGGCTTATTTGAAGTCCAAGATCTCTTTCATTCTGACATTTAACAATCTTGTGGGCTGTGTGGCTGGCAAAAGGCTGAGTCCCTGGGGAGTGTTGGTGGCTACTTTGCCTCGAGCTCCACCCTATTATTTCTTCTTCACCCCTGAGATCTGCCTGGAGTGGAGAGCAAATCAATAGGATACTGCGCCGCCGCAGTCTCGAGGGACACTTACACACACGCTGCCATCCAGCCGGGTCTAGATGCTAGCACTCTAACTTATGCCCATGTTCAAATGTTGTCCAGGTAAACGCAGGCAGGGGCATCTGGCCGGACTCTGGGCACCTCGGTAAGTAAAGGCTGGCTTTCTCCTTTCTTCTCCAGGGTAGTTATGGATTCTCTGCTACGCAGATCTGTATCTGATGTCAACTACAGGAGGAAGGAATGTGCTACACTGTAAAGCAGACTTAGAGAACTGTTTCCCCCCAAGTCCTTTGCATTTTCACTCTGAGCCTCGTTTGTGCAGCTCCTCTGAGTTATTTTTCATCCATTTACCTACTGTTGTCTTGTGCACTTAATAAATTCTACCTTGTATTCTTACCTAACCTTGTCCCAAACAATAGTAGCCAGGAAATGATGGGTTCAATAGATACCACTTACAATGCAATGATAATAAAAATAGAAGTCCTCTGTGCCACCTAAAACCATGTCAAATATCACTGGTTGTTCACAAACCTCACTAGAATTCTGGGGAGTATGAGAATGCAGTTAGATCTGTTGACCTTTAAGGTAAGTGTCTTCAAATCTCTCTGTGCTTAAGATTTCTAAAGCAGCCTACAGGTTCAGTCAGACTCTGCACGGTTTGGTTCTACTGCAGTTTGCCCGTGAGAAACCCAGCAGGTGCTACGAAGGTTTCAGTGATAGTGAGACAACTCTCAATTGCCAGGCAGGCTTTTTAATCCATACTGGTATAGGCACGTTTTTGTCCCCCTTTCTTTCTTTACTTGTTTGTTCTGTAAGGCTTTTCTTGACATTTCCTGAACTTTGTTAGTGTATTCATTTCCTAGGGCTTCTGTGACAAAGGATCACTTAAACCATTCCGGGGTGAATTAAAACAACAGAAATCAAAATGTCACTTGGTTCTTTTGGGAGCCTCAAAGGCCTCTGAGAGAAGCCATTGCAAGCCCCTTTTCCTGGATTCTGGGGGCAACTTTTGGTGCCTGTAAGCAGATGCATTATCCCAGTTTCCTGCCTCTATCTTCAAATCATTTCCTTGACATATTTTCTCCCTCTTTCTTTTAAGAACATTTTTATTAGCTTTAAGGTTCACTTTAAACCAATGTGATCTCATTTTAAGATTCTTATTTATACCCACAAAGACCCTTTTCTCAAATATGGTTACGCTCATAAGCTCTAGGAGGACATATATTTTGAGGAGAGACATTTTGACCCACCATGTTAGTGGTTGTTCAAACTGTCTGCTTTTGGGCCAGGTGGTTCTAGCTCACCTGTCATGACAGCAGGTAAACTGGTGACATTAGGTCGGGGGGTAGACATCAAAGTCAACAAAGTCAACTGTTGCAATAATTTTTTCAGAGCAATTCTAAGAAAAGGAAAATAAATAGAAAACTGGTCACTCGAACCCAGCACAGGAAAAACATGTGTCCTAAAGTCTTTGTGAACCTTCTTTCTTCTTATTTCTTTGGGGTAAATACATTAGCAATGCCTTTCTCACAACTGGTGTAAAACTCCTTTATTGCCTTCGAAAAAGTGAAGAATTAAGTCAGTTCACTTGATAGAGGAAGCTGAGCTTATTTATTTGTTTATAATAAAACACATTTTTGAAGCATCTACTATATACTGAGCAATGCCCTAGCCACTAGATAAATGAATAACACATTTCTGCACTGAAATGCAGTCCAATCAGGAAGACAGACCTATACATAGTACAGACTTTGATTAACTGTGTGCCTCGTGTGTGTTTAAGTGAATAGTGTACATGAAACAAATCTCTGCTGTTGTTGCTTATAACATTGTCTTGCATTGGTCAATTAAGATTCCTTCCTTGGCTGAGTTTCCCACTAAGTGAACAGCTACATTATGGTCTTCTTAGCATACTTCACTGGCTTAGGATGGGCTTGTATTTCAAAAATTTGGGTATAATAGGTTTTGCATTTGTCTTAGCTCCCAGGTTCTGGCCCTCTTACTGTATTTTCTCGTTTGAAATCCAGTGGCAGAAAGATCCCATTTTCCACTGATGAAGCCTCAAAGATCAAGTACTCTTTCCTACCCTGCCCACACCACACTACTCCACACTGCAGCTTGGTGATGGCATGCAACCTAGCCTTAGCCACTCAAATATGTTTCCAAACTGTAGAATTAGGAGATGGCTATGCACTGAGGCTAAAATGGGGAGGGGTCTTTGTGGTAGTAGTTGCAGCCATGTCCATTTTCCAGGACCAGCAAGGGTAAGGGAACAAGCAACGACATCTGGCTTCCAGTGTACAGGTATTGGTTACTAGTTATAGTGCATATGGCCTAGTGATGGCAACGGAGTTCTTGTTCAACTAATCCATCTTCTAATTTGGCTGTGATTGTGTTTGCTTTGCCTCCCTTTGTCTCTATTTTCTGAGTGTCTCTCTGATCATTTCAATAAGTTCCCATTTAAGTCAGATAAGCTTATATCTATTGGTGAATACTTACTGAGGCCTGGAAAAGACTCTATTTCAACAACCAGAAGGCTAACTAATGGATCTAGATATCCTTACTTTTAGGGCATTTGAGCAGAAATATTACAGTGGATTAATTAGAATCCAAAGCAGACACTAAAAACACTCATGCAAAGACTAGGAAACAGTTGAGGCCATTGTAGGAATTACAAGTAGGAATAAGTTACGAATAAGAAAAGTCGTGTTAGCAGAAATCAAAATACTTGCAGAGGAGAGAGTGGGAGTGGTGGTTGGCTGATAGCATCAGCAAGTAGAAATCAGAGGAAGGTGCTGATGAGGGATGAATGAATGAATTTGGCTCTTCAAGGGCTCTAAGCTCACATACTCATTGGATCTGCCTTGAAGCCTACACTATTTTCCAATTTTAGAACTACATGTTTATTTCTATGAAATTAAATAACTCTATCATAGGTTCCCTTGAAATTCTAATTGGTCTTATTTGGATAGGAAGATTTATCCTCTATGACCAAAGCTCTGTCCAAATATTACAGTGATGAGATGGCTGGGAACCAGTAAATCATGTAGTTCAGGAGTCACTAACCTGTATAACCCCAAACATTATTTTCTTGAAATTTGCAGCAGCAGAGCCTCTTGTCTGAGCTGACAGATTAATGCTTTATAAGAGGCTCCTGTGTAGAGTGTGCTCTTTTCTGTATAAGCCATTAGTACCTGAGCAGATCAGAGGAGTTGAATTTTAAATTTGAACTCTCAGAGGTCTGATACTTAGGGAATGAACTAGCAGAGGGGAGGAAAAGTGGGCACAGGGCAAAGGAGCTGGGGAGTAGAGGAAATGACAATGAGAGGTCCCTAGAAATTTCTTACAGGATAGACTCATAAAAGAAGGCTGCAGAGAATAGTGCAGAGGAAAAAGTCCAGGGAGCCGTGGGGCCAGAATGGTGGCTGTGTCAACACATCAATGCTAAACACTCTCCCTTTTAGTCTCAGCACGAGGTGCAGTGTATGAACTCGCATAATTTGCTTTAACCTTGAGCTCTTGTAGGAGGTAAAGCCAGCTTAACGTGTGGACAAAGGCAAATGGGTGTGATATCTATCCACTCTGAGATTCTGTTTAGACCCACATTAGCTATAGTTGCGCTTTGGAGTAACTCACGAGTCTTGTGATCTTCATTTTTATCTCCCATGACAAACAATGCATTCTCATGGCCTGTAAAAAAGAAAAGAGCTATGTGTCTTGCCCAGTTGGTGAGTGGTATAGAATCTAGAAAATGAGTGATTTTCGTAATGGGACTTGAAGCAGGAAGGAGCTGAAGGGAGGAAGGATGCACAAAAGCTTTTTAAAATGAAAGCAGGAGCCTGAAATTATCCCTAAAGACCTTCATCTATTTCCTCAAAGTCTAAAATATACCACAGAAATTTTTTCTTTTCTTTTCTGAGAATAGTGGGTAGAACCATTCTTGAAATAGCAGTGCATCACACCAGGATGCAGGTAGGAGAAAAATGCTAACACCAGGACTGTCTTCTCGTAGGGTACAAGTCTCAGCCATACTTGTGTGGCTGGATGACTTACTGTGGGTTACAAATCAATGATGAGCAATGTGAAGCGCAGATGGGGACTTTAATGCATCCTCCACATCTCTG